GCAGTTGAGTAAATCTAAACGCAGGAGGTAACAGGGACAGTTGAAGATGAAAAAAAAATACTTTGCCTGCCCAGGCTAATCCAGATATGTATGTTTGGATCTGAGATTATTTTTGAAACGGTCTGAATAAAAGAAGATAACCATTGGTTGCTTTGTCATCTCATGCCCTAAAATGTGCATTTGTATGAGTGTGCGACACACAAAAATGTATTATATCTCTTAAGGTTAGAGATGCCATGTAGGATTAGGATTAAAAATGCGTTCAGAGAAATGATAATCCTAGTCTAAATGTTCATGGTTGACGTCAACTAGACTCAAGCCTTTATGCTATTATATAGATATTTCCTGGTGATGTTTTCTTAATCAGTCATTTGATGTGAATTGTAGTAGTGAATGTTATCATGTATTATGAACTTCAGTTGAGTGTCAAGTTATGTTTAGGTTTGATTTTTGTGTGTTTCTCAGAAAAAACAAAAACAATTTAATCTGTCAATTCTGTCCATAAAGTTTATTTTTTAGTAATGAACTTGAGATTTAATGTTACCTAAATCTTCAATTATGAGCTCTACTCTAGAGAAAAATAACAATAACATCAACAACAGCATTCCAATGTGCTGCAGTAGAAGGACACAGTGATATCAGGGGTCAGAGGTGCTCTAGTAAGCAAGTCTCAGGCCATAATCAAAAGCAGCCCTGTGTGTATAAAAGAGAGATAGAGAGGGCTTTTGCCTTTCAGTTCAACTGTGCACAAATTGAAAACAGTTGTGGGAAGGTATCACATTAAAAGTTGCTTTCTTTCATAACAGAAACAATTCATAACAGAAGAACAGAGATAGTTGTGGCAAATCAATACTCCCATCATTACACACTGCAGCTGGGGTTTTCCGAAGGAAATCAGATTTTGAGTTTATTTTTCTTTATAATTTTCTAATTTCTTTATACAACACATGCCATTTGAGATTTAAAGTGATGCTTCATCCAAAAATGAAAATGTTGTCATCATTTGCTCACCCTCATGTTTGTTCCAAACCTGCAGAACTTCATTTAATCTGTTACATGATTTCATTTTCCGGCCAGCACTATAAAGCAGTTTGAGTGGCTTTACACAGCAGTAGTCACATTGTATCCTCATGTCTGTTTATCATTTGTACGATTGTTGTGCTTTTTTATGTCGTAAGTAAACATAAACGTTTGATTTCCAATTTTTTTCTTATTTTCTTATGTTTGCTTACCATTAACAAGAAAACATTATACAACTTAACATATTTTGTTTGTTGTTTTTATTTAATATTTATATTCTTTATACTAAGATGCTTTTTATTAAATCAAAGTCTCATCAGGTTTGTGCATTGTTAAACATTAGTTATCACGACCTCAACAAACGCACAAATCATTGCATGAAGGGTTCATTTGCAAAAACAGATAACTTCATTTTTATTTATTTTATAAATCATGTTTTTACTATTTCTTCTGTGGAACACTGAAGACCATATTTAGAAAAATGTCTGCAGTGTGTTTTGGTTCTATCAAAAAAAAAAATCAATGGGCATATTATACATATTTTGTGTTCTGCAGAAGAAGAAAAAAATGCATGCCTGAAGGTGAGTAACTGACGATAAAATATTGTTTATGTTGGGGTATTCCTTTAAGTGTATATGCTAGCATCTATGTAAAACAAAGTCACTGTTTGACTGTTAAGTGCTAAAGATGCAGTCACTTTTTGGCTATAGATGTATAGATGTATTTCATACTAAAGTTTCACATACCAGTGCACACATATCAATTTAACCATCCAAGGTAAATTCTAATGCCACAGAATTGTCTGTACATAAATATTTATGGATGAACAAACACCCAATCCTCAGTTGTTTATGATTCCTATTTATCTTTGTAACCATTTACAAAGTTGGCAAGTGTGTGATGTCTAGTATATTTTAAAATCAGTTCCAATTTTAAAAGTTGTCTAATGTATTCTAGTCTTTACATCTAAACAATTCTTAATGCTTCTATTTGTGGTTAATGTCATGGAGGTCTCATACAAAACTCTGAATATCTTTTGCATATTATTGATTGCATATTATACATGACAGCTGGCAACTCTAGTATCCCTGTTTGCACTACTGTACATTAACTAGCTAACCTGTATTCAACCAATGCATACATGAAGCATCTACTATGCATTGAATCTGCTACAACAATGGAGAAATGTACTTAAGTGGAAAAAGTTCTGCATGATGGAGTCCACCATGTGGAAACTGGAGTTGTTGTATCTGCAGAAGAAAACCAGAGGGCAGGACACACAATTCATCTCAGTGAAGCTCCTCAGCGACAAATGATCAGCCACAACGCAGCATTTCCATAGCCTCATTATGCAGTGGGTCCCCAGGCGCAATAATCATGATATCAAATGACAGGCTTTCTTCGGGCCGCCGCTGTAGTTGTAAATAAAAATATGTTAATTTGGCTTGCGGTATTTAAGCGAGCAAGTTGCAAACATCATTTGTTTGAGTTAATTTGTACAAGATCAGGGTGTTCCGAGTAGAGAGATATGAGCCAGGGAAATGACTAATGTTAGTGAATTACAGTAGCTAAGGAATGTGTAATGATAAGCATTAGTTTTATATTTTTTAGTAGAATTATGTTTTGCATGGATGTTAGTGAGTTTACTCATATGATGACAAAATAGAATTAATGTCTGTGAAAACTGTTTGTATAATACCAATATTAGAATTTACAGAGTTCAATAATACATTAAATTCTTTTTGCCTGCTTCTTTGAACAAATTCTTTGAAGTTTAGTACATACAATTACCCACAAAAAAAATCTAAATAATAAAAATAATAAAATCTATTATAAGAGGCATGGTACTCTTGCACATTCATGAGGCAAAATCAAAAACCAATGTCAATGCAAAACTACAGATCTCTACATGCAATTGAGCACAGCTCTCAATACTGCCCACTAGCTGTGGTGGAGTTCAGGCTGAGTACTAGCTAAACATTTCTGTTGTTAATTTTATGTTTCACTGTTTCTTCAAGTTAAAAGTGGTCTCTCATTATTTACACAAACTCTTCTTTTTAAAATGAATTATGATTTTTATCTTATCAGAGATTAATATACACATAAAAACATCGTTTTACACTTTACTGCTCAACGACAAATTGCCATTTTATCTTTCAAGGCAAGTTTATCTTTCAAAGTGTATATTATCACACCATTTAATCTGTTACATGATTTCATTTTCCAGCCAGCACTATAAAGCAGTTTGAGTGGCTATACACAGCAGTAGTCACATTGTATCCTCATGTCTGTTTATCATTTGTACGATTGTTGTGCTTTTTTATGTCGTAAGTAGACATAAACGTTTGATTTACTATTTTATTCTTTTTGCTTACCATTAACAAGAAAACATTATACAACTTAACATATTTTGTTTGTTGTTTTTATTTAATATTTATACTCTTTATACTAAGATGCTTTTTATTAAACCGGAATGCTGAATCCCTGACAATTTTCAAGCGACAGCTGAAAACTCATCTCTTTCGAAGCTACTTGACTTCATCATCATCATTATATAAAAAAAAAAAATCTCTCTATTTATTCCTTCTCTTTCTAGCTTGTACTTATTTTAACAATGTCTAGAAACTTGGTATTACAAGCACTTCCTGTATCTGTTTGCCTCTTTAAGAAGAACCGCTTTATGTATCCCCAAATTGTAAGTCGCTTTGGATAAAAGCGTCTGCAAAATGATTAAATGTAAATGTAAATGTAAATGTAAATCAAAGTCTCATCAGGTTTGTGCGTTGTTAAACATTAGTTATCACAACCTCAACAAACGCACAAATCATTGCATGAAGAGTTCATTTGCAAAAACAGATAACTTCATTTTTATTTTATAAATCATGTTTTTTTTTTTTATTGTGCATTCCAAGTAATATCAATCAAACTGCAGTTGGGCTGTTTTGATTAAGTAATAATACAGTAACTCAAAAACAAAAATACAGGCAACTTACAAAATTAAAGTTCATTAAAAGTATGCTTTTTATATTAAAAGTTTAGATTTTTTTTTTAGCAAAAGCAGATAACTCCACATTTCATGTTTCAGAGTTGAACAAAAATAATCTGTGTAATCTCCTCAATTGACAGTGTAGATGCTTGACAAGCTTTGTGAGTACACGCAGTTCAGGGAGCTTTTCCCTCTCCACTGTAACATGCTGCTTTAGTAAGGTTCCGTGAAAAAGTTTCAGCTTTTATTTTCCTTTTATGCCCTAAAGAAGATATCACGGTTTCATCAAGTTCGTCGAAATGATCCATCCTCATAATTTTTAACTGCCTGCTGTGTTCGCGCGACAAGGGCGTTGTCGGTTTCTGCTGTAAAACATGAACTCGCGATGCCTTGACAGTGGACAATACCAACTTTTGTGACAACATTTGTTTAAGGTTAAGAACATGGATATATGTGTGAATATTGCACGGCAGTCAGTTCTTTTTTTAAACGTGGCATTTATCGGTTTTTGCAAATGAACTCTTTGCATGATTCGAGTCATTTCAAGATTCATTTCTATTTGGACATGACTAAAAGTGGTAACAGTGAGAAGTGTGGGAGATGTTTACTTTGTAACTAGTTTGAGGCATTCAGGCAGATTCATGATGCACCTGTTCGAATTTTTGTTTTTATTATTTTTTATTTTAATTTTTATTGTGTTTTTTATTGTATTTTGTATTGTCCTTTTTATTTATATATTTCCTTTTTTTTTTTTTTTTTTTTAATTATTTGTGA